CTTAAGCTCTTTCCCAAAATAGCATCCTTGCTATTTCTCTCTATCTCTATCTCTTTTATTCTCTCTATCTCGTTCTAATTCTCTCCTTCTATCTCTCCCTCTCTATCTCTTTCTATATCCAGATTTTCTCCCCTTTCTATTCTCAAAACATTACTATAAATTATTAATTATAAAAGTCCTTTTAATTAAGGCAATTCTTGAACTCAAAGAGGAGTTTTATTGTTCCCTTTTTTCCTCGCATCATCGAAAAGTCAACATTCTCAAAAGGACTGAAGTTAACAATTTACACTCGAACCATATTGTTGGTTCTGGCACTCCCGCACTACATCAATTCCGAATCGGATCTAAGGATCCGATTTTAGTGTCAACAGTTTGTGTGGAAAAAAAAAAGAAAACTAGAAAAAGGGTACGTGAGAAATTTTAGGAAAAAGAAAAAAAGAAAAAGAACTGTAATTAGTATTGCCTGGCTCCATTCTGTCTGCCTTTTTCTAAGCTATGAGGTTGCTCTCTCTCTCTACATTGTACTCTTTACCTTTAGATTGCACGATAGTGAGCTTTGATTTGCAAGAAATGTACCATTAGCATTTCTTTCTATGCAAGGGCTGTTTCGTCATTCCACATCAACAAGAACCAATGGTTATGGAGGAGGTAGTGTTTACCCACTCGAACCATTTTTACATTTGCTTTGGCCCAAACCCCACCAACCCTCCTCTAAGTTTCCACGGGGAGAGAGAGAGAGAGAGAGAGACGGTTTTAAATTAAGGCCCAGCCGGTGAAGGAAGGAGCATTTTTGTCTATGAGGTTTGTTTCGGCACGCTTTGTGTTTTTTGGCTTGGTGTTAGCATTTTCCATACGCGCAGAGGTGTGTGAAACAAATTTACTCGCTAGTAAGTCCAGAAATTGGTAGGTGTTAGTACAAGAAAGCAAGTTTCAAAGTATTTTATATTCGTGAGAGTGGGTTATGTTAACATTTTTGTTGTGAGTTATGTTATGATGGAAATAGTTTTGGGGAAATGTTAAGAGTTCATTCATGGCTTTCATCTCATTATTGAAAAGCATGGTAGTTTAATGTTGATGCTTGATTGTCATTTTTCTCCCCACCTTTTTTTCTCTTGTATCCTATGCTTTGTATGTGATTCACGGGACTACAAGAGGTGAATTTTAGGCTATCTCTACTGAGCCGTTGTGCTCACCCTATGTTTAATATTTTCAAGAAATGGCAAGGACGTGATAGATGATGTACCCCACAAGCTTAGATGTAGCTTGGTGATCTCTTTTGTAATCATTTTGTGAAGGCATTCCTTTGAATTTTAAAGACATGAAATGACCTTATTCATTTTGCCGGTTTCAAGCGAAACCGTTGTATTTGTGGCCACGGAGGCCTTGGCATGTAATCCTATTCTTTTGATTACATTGTATCACGTTAAAGATGTATGAATGTTTATATATAGATTTGATTATCAATAATAAATGTATGAAGATATTTTGATGATTCAATGCGATGTTTTGAGGTTAATGATGTCCACGGGGGTGTATTTACATGTTTAGATGCTTTGGGGTTGCATTTGAATGGTTTCGGGAAGTAAACATTTTGACCAATTCACCATGGGGCATCATCTAACCAATTGGGTATCTACCTGGTTAGATAAATGGGCAGTATGTGGGTTTGATGGGATTCTCCCATCTAACCGGTTAGATGGGTATATCTAACTGGTTAGAAGGCCATCTACCTGGGTCGAAGCTCCTATCCACCTGGTTAGATGTATGGGCAGTAGGGGTCCATCTAACTCGTTAGAAGGGACTATCTAACTGGTTAGATGGCAATCTACCCGATTAGATGAATCTATTTACCCGGTTAGATTGGCCCTTCATTTTGGCATACAAACTGGACTAGTCATCTAACCTGTTAGATGAATTCATGTACCATGTTAGATGAGTTAATATTTACTATTTGACACAAAATTTCTGTATAATTACCCAATTACCCCCAAACTTCAACCAAAGCATAGAATGACCACAAAAAATGAATATTTTATCCATGATGAGTTTAGAAGCCATAATGAACGTACTATATATTATACCCTTATGAACTCCAGAATTATTATAATGATGTGAAATGATTGTAGTGCCCTTATGCGACCTTGGGTCCGGGCATGGTCTTTGGGGATATTTTCATTTTTGGAGTCCCTTGTGCAATTATCTTTTGGATATATTTTGATTTGGGGCATTTTTACGATTATCTTTTGGATATTTTCTAGGAGGAACTTTTATACAATTAGGGGAAAGTTGTGTAAGATGTGTTTGGTTGATTAGGCCAAGTGTTGGGTCATTAGTGAGGCAAGTGGTGGAGTTAGATGGTGACAAGTGTAGGGCTTAGATGAGAGTGTGTGTGTGAGAGAGAGGTAGTGTAAGACATTGTTTATAGATATTATCCTTTGTTGTCTTACAACTTTTTCCTAAAGACTTCATCTTCCTCACTCATTCTCTCTCTAACCTCCATTGTTGCATAACTTAGAGCTTAGGTTCTTCTATCTTCCTCTCCTTTTGCTCACACCAAAGAAAGAAAAAAACTTAATTGCATCTTTGACTACAAAGCATTTGTCTTGGATTTCTCATTGCCCATTTTCTCCTTTGGATTCTTGAGAGGCTTTCTCTAGTAAGGTAGGGGGTATAGTATGATTGTAACCTAGGAGTTTTCATTGTGTTTTGGGGTTTATCATGACTTATACGCATATTGTGTGAGTTGTAGGGAGATTCTTTGAGGTTTGCTTCATGACTTAGGCTTTTATATTGTTTACATGTGTACATATATATCTTGTATGCTCATTAATCACTTAGTAGAATGATAGATTGATGGTAGCTTCATTGAGATATATTTGTTATAGCCTTGGATTATTCTTGTCATTATAACTTGCTAAGGATTTGTATAATGCTTGTATGGTTGTGTAGCTAAGGTATTAGAGACCTTGAAGTGCTAGCAAGAAACAAATCATTTATTTATTTTCTCATTGTTAGCATATGCACTTGTATAGTTGGTTTGATATCATGCCATGCTTAGCTTTGAATACTTAGGACATGGAATGCTTGATCCTTACATCTTATGTGTGCATGGAAGGTGAAGCTTATGCATTGACTATGTGGCGATATTGTGGAAATGGTTATTGATTTTGGGAGAAACTTGGGACATTGTTACTTTGATAGCTAGAGTTTGGATCTAGTGAGGGAGGTATGAGGTCTCCCCAATTATAATGGCCACTTGGGTAGTTCCCTACGGGTTAGTAACCCAAAAGAGATAATTTTTTCTTGATTGTGATGTTCATAACCGGATGTTTATGAGTCCAAGATATCCTTATTATGTGATTTCGTATTTTGTTTCCAAATTCAGATTCTTATGTACTTGTGGCTTGGGGTTTCTGTTTGGATGTTCCAACGTTGACAACCTTTGTATGATTTTGTATTTTCATTTCCAACTTGACACTTTGATGCAAATGTAGCTTGAAGTATTTGGTATTGGATGTTTCAATTTGGTTAAGTGCATTCTTATAATGTGGATTCTATTTACCTTGCTTCTAATGTTAGTTCTAGGATGATCCCTTAGTTTCACCCTTAAATTAGAGGTATAGGAGACATGTTCCATATTTGTTTAATTTATGCTATTCTTGCGAGGCCAATGAAACCTTAGGTTATCCCCATAATGCACTTTAAATTACTCACACCCGTTGCTAAATGTTTTTCAGGTAAAGAAGTGTTCTTTTGGGATGGTCATCATCCTTTGCTTGGCTTGGCCATGATGTTATGGACATCTTTTGTTTTTGTTTTCATGCAAAATGTTTAGCATGCTTATGGAGTGTTTTCGGGTTCCTTTGACTATCTTGTGGATGTAATCTCTTTAAGCATTGTATCTTGAGAATTATTTATGAAATGTAATGAGGCCAAGGGACATTTTCTTTCAAAGCATGTTAAATGTAACATTTTGTATTAAAATGTTTAGTTTTTGTATTCAATGCATTTGGGGGTATTTTTGTCTTTTCCTATGCCTTATTTCTATTGGGATTGACCTTAGGGGACCTAATGATCATATTTGAGCATGGTTTTCCTCACAAATATTTCTAAAAATCACTTTTTTTGCCCTCGGAGCACTCGGCTCGCATGCTGCCGCACGAGCGCTTGGCTCGCATTCTGACTCGCCAGGGCACAGTTGGGCACCCCACGAGCGCCCCCATGACACCCCACAAGCTCTCATGGTCAGGACAGTTCCTGCGGGCTAATTACGAGCGCTCGCACCCCTTTGCCCTGTTGACTCAACTTTGACTTTTCGGATTCAAATAGTCTTTTCTCCTTCGTTCTAACTTAGAATTGGTCTGTTCTTGAGTCTAAACTGACCGCATCGAAATAATATTTCCACTGGTACCAATTATAGTTTCCAATTCCACTCCGACCGTGAGATATTTACATTTTAGTGAGAAGGCGTAGGGATTTCATTCGAACTGGGATAGGGTTTCCGTGTGATATTTGCTTCTAATGGCCTTGGGACTTCTTAGGAGGCACTATAAGAAAATAAGTCTTTAGTGACAGTCAAATTCGTCACTAAAAATCGAAATCGTCTGTCACTACTTACAGCGTCGCAAAAGGTCTTTAGTGACGGTAAAAAATGACTGTAAAAAAAAAAAAAAAAAAAAAAAATGGGTCTTTAGTGATGGTAATTACTATCCCAAATAACCCGTCACTAAAAGTTATTAGGGACGAAATGTACCGTCACTAATAAGTTATATATTAGGGACAATTTTTGAACTGTCACTAATACATACACTATTCGTGACAGTATTTACCGTCCCTAATAAATTTTTAACTGACCATTGATTTTTTATTTTTATTATTATGTTTTTGTTTTGGGCTCTGCTTAATTTGTGTGATTAAAACATTCTATATTGCAAGTCCAAGGTATGAAGAACAAAAAAGAGAGACTGTGTATGCAACTTTTCTGAATCAAATGGGACAAATTCTGAGTAAAAAGAACCAAGTTAATATGTTCTATACCAATATCAAGTTCAGAAAAAGAATTCTCACAATAACACTATAAAATCTATAAAAATTCCAAGCTCTTAATTTCATAATGAAACTATAAAATCTCTAATTTTTTAAACGAAAACTACAAAGTATTCGCTAGCAGCTTTAACATCAAATGGTTTCAACATCCTCATGGTCAGGCATCATTGCTCCAGCCATACCAAGTAGCATCTTCCATGCATCTCTTATATGTTTGAATCCAAGAGAAGTGAGAGAAATTAGGAAACAGGAAAAACAAAAAAAAAAAAAAGTGAAATATAAGAAAGGCTAAATATGATATATGTTACACACATGATTAAATAAAAGAGAATTATATGACTCCAAATGAAGACATTACAATGATAAAATGATAAAAAGAGATTGATAAAAATGCATTGTCTATAAATTCAACCTTAAGCTTAACCAACATTATTGTTCCAATTTACTACTACATTTTTGAATTCACCAAACCTGAGCTAATCATGAAGTAATGATCTTTAGTCAAGAAGATTATTTCAGGCGTAATGATTAATTAGAAATTAGAAATGCAATCTTGAAAGTATTAAAGGTCTGTGCCCATAAATACAAACAAAATAATTTCATGAAATTCAAAGTGCATGCTCTTTTGTAGCAATTTCATAAAATTTGAGACAGCACATCAATGATGTAACTTTCCCAACTACGGTACCAAGTTTTTTTAAATGTACTTTTTCTGCATTTGACAACATATACCAATGCAATTTTCAAAGTACACACTAAACTTTAATCAATACTCCATATAGACCATGAAATGAAGAACAGTAGTTCAATCAAGACTCAGTGAAGTCAATGAAGCAGAGCCTTACTTGATATATAAAAACCAAATCAGATATCTCCAAAGCGAAAGATGCATAAAGCACTTCTACCATAAAGTTGACCACGGGCCGACAAGCGACGTGCATACACTCCTCAAGGACACAAACACCTTTCCGCCAAGGCCTCATCTTTCCACTGTACAAATACGCCAAAACAGTGACTAACGAATCGAAGCTAATCTTGTGTCCAATGTACTCAAAATCACCATCAACTTAAATAGAAATAAATCATTGAGTCCAATGTACTTACATATGTAACATATTATAATGTAAGTTTCTTTTTTTATATCAATCACAATCACCAGGAATATTTTGTAAAAAATGTGTGCCAAACTCAATTTTAACGCCAAATAAAGTTGATAATTATGAACACTCACCAGCTCCCTTGACCCTTTGTTCTCTCCTGAAGCAATCCCCCATTGTACTTCCTGAATTCACTCACAGTACACTAATTAATCCTCAATTCCTTAGTCTTTACCCTCAAAAATAGTAAACTAGCTAATTACTTGAAAAATAATGAAAAGATTATTGTACATAACAAGCATTTAAATAACTAAAATCATCATAGAAAGTAGGCAACTTACACTCTTGTAACACTATTCTCACTATTGCATATAACATGAAACCATCATATGTCCTTATATTGCACCCTATACAACATATACGCACAAGTGTTCATCCTAAATGGATGCAAATATTTAATAAAGTAATCATGCCATGTTTTCAAATTCTTTGCCCCCCAAACTATAAGAATAGATGTGTATCTAAATTCATTGTCCGGAACAACTTAATACTAAAGCTTGAAAGATGCGTAAAAAGCTTGCAGTGGAAAGAATGGGAAGGGAATTGAATGCAGTGCCTCTCTCTAATGTCTTATACTAAAAAACCTATAGCCTTATTGCCATAAAGTCATGTACTTATGTTTACCAAAATGGAGAGCATTAATCACTTCTTTAGGGGAACAAGACAATTTTGAATTTCTCTATTTCCAGTGATTAGACCCTTATGCATCTCGAAAATGATAAGAGATGTCAAAAGAATTAGAGTAGTAGTGAAATAAAGATGTATTAATCAATCAAATTTTATACACAGTTCAATAGAAGAACAAAATCCTCTAGAAAAGGAAGAAATGTTCACAAACAAAATACAATTAGTGAAGTGAATAAAGTAACAACTCTATGGAATATAGTCATGCTCTACATATGAGACAATTTTACCATATAACAACTCTGTCCTCAAACCAATAAAAAAAGTATATACTATATTAATCACTACTATTCGGTATATGACCCAAGTTCCACAAAGACATTTGACAGTGAAAATGAAAATCTCCTGTTATTCTTGAAGAGGCTATTAATAATTTTCTTGGAATTTAACTACAAACCATTATACCTACAGCAGCAAAAGGAAATTTGTAGGGAATAGACTCAAAGTTAATGCACCTAATCCCAACAGTAATGGCCTTCTGTTGCAACTTCCTGAAACTTGTAATATGTGATAAGAACCACTATCAAAAACTTTATTTGATTATAAAAAATTGCATTGTCTATAGATTCAACCTTAAGTTTAACCAATATTATTGTTCCAATTTACTACTACATTTAAGAATTCACCAAACCTGAGCTAATCATGAAGTAATGATCTTCAATCAAGAAGATTATACCAGCCAGTTTTAGTCTGAAGTGGCCAAAGCAGTCATTGTAGCCTTGAGAAAGATTTTTGCAAATGAACCTTAGAATTAAATAAAACACCAGAGAGATCACCAGATTTTAGATAAAACCAAGTGCAGAGATCGAGAAATTTAAAAAATTAAAAGATTGCAATACTCACTGCCAATGGAGTCGTTCGTAACAGATAGTATCGCTATTCCAGACCACAATATTCAACTGTGGAAGTCCTTCAATTAGCGTAAACACTAATATCTCTTGAAACGACTTTTGCCTCCACCTTTATTTAAAAAACCAAATTAGTCGTGTTTAAGAATTAACCAGTACAAAACTTGAAGAAACAACACAATATAAATCTAAATATACATACATATATATACACACATATAGAGAGGAAGAAAAGAGAAAGAAAAGGATCCTATGGAAATGTTGAGATCTTGCCTTGAAATCCACTATGCGTCTTTCAATTTGTTATAACCAACCACTGCCATCAAACTTCACCAATTACAAATTGAAGAAAAGAAGATAAACATATATTGTGGATAGAGAGAAAGTGGAAAAGATGTACCAGTGATTTCGAGAAATTGACCTTGAATACCAGTAATCAACATGGAAGGGTAAAGAGACGGTGGAATTGAAGAATGTTAATATATTTGCCAGCCAAAAGTTCCTTTTATCTATGTAAGGAGACGATCTGGGTGGATATAATCATGCTGATAACATAAGGCAGAGAGAGGGGAAAGGTAGAGAGAGAAACTTCACAACGAAAAGTTTTCGTTTGGATATACAGGATAGAAAATAAAATAAAGGTCTGCGGGAGAAAAGAAAATAAAAGAATTGGTGATATTGTTATTCGGATACCACAAAGTAAAGAAAAGAAGAAATTATCATTTTACCCTTTTGATAGGATTAGTAAGGCAAAATCATTTTAGCCTCCCTAATCGCCTCATCTCTCTATTTTCTCTCTTTCTCTCTCTAACTGCAATTTACAAAATCTACAAGAATCAGAATATCAAAACCCATATCGGCAAAATCATTTCAGCCTCTCTAATCGCCTCATCTCTCTATTCTCGTTCTCTCATTCTCTCGTTCTCTCTCTCTCTCACTCCAACTGTTAACTACAAAATCTATAAAAATCAAAAGATCAAAACCTATATCGGCATATCATTTCAGACTGTTCCAAGAATCAAAACCCATATCTTTGTATCATTTCAGATTGTTCCAAGAATCAAAACCCATAACTTTCAAGCTTGCCCCCCTCTCTCTCTTTACAATTGCTAACTTGTATGTATGGGTTTTGTTTTAAATTTTTTTTTTTTTTTAAATCAACTAATCAAGGTCTGTAATTCTTGTTTTGCAACTCTCTCTCTCTCTGCAACAGCAAACTACATATGTATATATATATATATATAACCGGCTGCCCCTTCTGTAATTTGTTCCAAATCTTGTCAATTTTGGAGGGATTCCAAATGAGGAATTTGGAGGGATAGCTATCCCTCCAAATCTCCAAACATCCTAATCACTATCTTTCATTTTCTTTTCTTTCCAAATCCCCCTAAATCCCTCAATCCAAACGAAGCCAAAGTGATTTTGGAGCGAGAAATATGAAATTGGGGTGAAACTTGGGAGATGGAGGATTGATCGATTCATCAAAGAGTGGAGAATGCGAAATGAAATTTTCACGATAGTGAATGAAAGAAAGGAGAGAGAATTTGGGGGAAAAGAAGAAAGGAGAGGGAAACGAAAGGGGTTGTTAGAGACACAGATGGATGAGAACAAAGAGATCATGCTCTCTCAGACAATTCAAATGACAAGCTCCAGATTGCAATGGCAAGTTCTCTATGTAATAAATCAACTCGATTGTTGGGGCTTTTGGCAATTTTGAAACCCTTAAAACATGTATTTGTGTTATTACATCTAAATAAACCAGTAAAAAAATAAAAAATAAAAAAATAAAATAAAAATAAAATTAGACAAACAAAGCAATGAAATAATAGATGGATAAGATCAAAACTAAGATGAAATTGAAGTAGATCCTGATGGGTTCTCTGAAGAACAAATCAAACTTGGGGTTCTCTAGAACGAAGTCCTAGCACTTGAAAACTCTATGAAGAATAGATATGGATGAAAGGGTGTTTGGGTTTGTACCATACCCACATCAAACAACGTAGTTTAATACACCCATTTAATGTTTCGTCAAAACTAATTTACTCTGTGCTTGTGTCTATGGTCCTGACGTTGCCTAGGTTACTAAATAATTATATTGGATTCATTTGATCTCATTTGACTTGTTAGGAATCAAATTTTTTTCTCTCAGGATAAAATGATCATTTTACCCGTATTCTTGTTTTTGGCTCGTTTCAACCTCAACTTTTGCATTCATCTTCTACTTGAGTTTCGTGACTTCTTAGAAGATCGTTTTGTTGTCTTAGAGGTAGTGTATATCTCTAGAGACTTCTTCTTTTTTCTTGCTTTCGCGTTTTGGACTCGATATCGGATCAGTTTTCGAATTACTTGTTAACATATCAGTTTATGAAAATTCGAGCCGTTAGTATACAATATAGTGTAATATATTTAATATGTCTATTATTAAATAAATTTATGAAGGCTAAGACTCGAAACAACAACAAAATTCATTTTTTAAAATTCCTCTTCACTTCACTGGTAGAGTAGTGAATTGTGTTGCTCACGCGTTAGGAGCTTTAGTGCTAAGAAAGTAAAGAAGGCTTTTTTTATAAAGATTTGCCTCGGAGAGTTATCAATTTTATTTGAAATTGTGACTTATATAATGTTCATAATGTTTGGTTTATAATATTTATCTTTTATTGACATGAAAATAATAATAATATATAAATCGAAACTAAGATGATGCATGAAAACTAAACAATGTGAAAGAAGACAATGAATATTCAAGATTTCTTAAGGAAGGGCAATGTTGGTATTAAAGGTGTAAGAATCAAGTATTTTATAATGTAGGGACTCCTTTGTAATTTTATTTTAAACAAAAGAGAGAGTGGAATACTTAAAGAGAATAGTAGAGCGCGCGAATTATTCATTAGATGATCATGACTTGATATAAATATAGCTAAAATATGGATCCTGAAATAATGAGGATGCAGATGCTAATGTTGTCTCCTGAGGATATTGGATAGAATATTTTTCTTTTGGGTTTTATCCAAATTTGTCTTGACCCTATATGTTTTATTTCATCTATTATCCATTTAGAATTAGTTGTTGAATTGAATTATCAAACAACAACTCTATTCAAAATTATAATTTTTACTTTTTTATTATTCTTACAACTTTTAATTTGACGGTTGGTTTTTGCTCATATATAAATACTTCACGAGAATCTTGTAAGTTTCCTCCCAATGATGAGAATCAATGCTTAAAATTGCATTTTTTTCACAACGAGATTACAATAGCCTTCTTTGGCTACTGCAAGGATATCAACATACAAACATTCGACGCTTAAAATTATCATGGCTACGTTCTCATAGTGAACTTCAGCACCTAATGCTTGAGAGACTATCCGACGGGTTGCAAGGCGAGTGCCTAACTCACTCTAAGGCTCCTTTTGTGTCACCGTAAAATAGTTTTCGGAAATCAGTCCTCATTTTTTAGTGTTTCAAAAACTCCAAGGTTAGGAAATTATTTTTCATGTAAATCATTTTACTCCCAAATGACTGATAATGATTTACTAAAAAAGTTTTTGTAAGTCACTTTTCACATGCTACCTTGGGGTCATCTACAATCCATATTCTTATTGAACCCTTATGTCCCTCTAACAACTAACCTTTTCAATCCTTCCAATCTGAAAAATCTAATATTCGGTCTTCTCTCTCTATATGCATACATAGAGTGAGAGGAGAGAGAAAGAGGGACGCAAATTTAGGTTGGTCGAGGAACATATTTGGGTCAAAAGCATGTTCTGATATAGAGTAGAGAGAGAAAGTAACGAAAAAGAGAGGGAGGGATGGTTTAGCGTAGAGAGAGAGAAAGTAGTGAGGAGAGCGGGGGAATGGTTTAGGGAGTACTATTCCCTGTTGGAAAGGAATATATATATATATTATGAATGTCTGCATGCAAAAGATTGAGGAGCTAGCTTCAACTTTCAAATGCTCATTGGAAAAGAAGAGAGAGCCTAAAATGAGAGAGAAGAGTCTGTCAAGATAGCAAGGATGACCAGCCTGCAATCCAATAAAGGGTTCCAAAAAGTACTTGAGACCCCTATGAAAGGGAAGGCAAGTCATCCTTACATACTAAACAAGACCATCTTCTCAAAACATTCATGTCAAAGTGTTTGTCAAAGAAAAGAAGGCCTTGAATGACAGACAATAGCCCATGACACCAAAGTCCCAAAAGGACTCATCTCTTCACGTAATACCTCTCTGCTGCCTATCAACTAAATTCATGCTCCAATGCATGCTAGAAATTAAGTGTGATCTCTCATTCTTTATTTATAGCCATCAAGAAAAGATGATCAAATTAATTCTAACTGCCACCTTTTTTTCTTCCATTTCTTATCTACATTGTCTACCTACCCCATGAAGGAATATATTCTCTTAATGGTCAAATAGGAAAATGTTCTCTTTGAGCATTATCTAGCTGACCCAATGTATCTATCTACTTCATGTCCTTCCAGCTTTCAATGGAGGCAAAGACTTCACTCTGGCTCAACATTACCTCTGCAACTTGCATATAATAAATTTGCCAGACCTTTAACTCCATTGGGAGGATGCAAAACCCTGAAAGCCACAAGTTTTTTGCTTGCTCGGCTGGGGCTTGTTCGCGTCAATTGGGACGGTTACTAATTTGGCAGACTCAAATTAGGCTTCACTGGATAAGAAATATGTCCACTCAACCTCAGCTTATAACTATATAGAATATAAAAAGCTTATATTCGCAAATCAGGGTTAGTGTTTTTAGACACAGTGAATTAGTCTGAATTGTTTGTTGATTTATGGTAAACAATTCTCAAAATTTCAAGCATATTTTGTTTTCAAAATGGTCCAATTCTATATAAGGTACAAATTTTGGACTGTGTAGTACTAAAACTACTAATATAACATTGTGGTACCCCTCTCACATTGAAAGTCATTCTCTATCTCCTCTCTGTCCTCTTAATTATCTAGATCAAGAACTTATTTGCTTTCCAATTCCAGTGTTATTTTCTGATTTTTGCAGTGGATAGAAAATTGATATCCGTTGGTTTTGACTCACAAAGATATATAAATAGGGAAGCACAAAATCTAATAGAGATTATGTATTTTTTTATCATTAATA